CCCCAAACCCTGAACCCCCAAACCATAGACCCTAAACCCTATACCCTAGACCCCAAACCCTGAACCCCCAAACCATAGACCCTAAACCCTATACCCTAGACCCCAAACCCTGAACCTTAAACCCAACCCTACTTCAAGGTCCCAAACCATGGGGTTGCTACCCGCTTTCTGAGTTCTAACCATGGTCTTTTAAGGGGGCCTGAAGGGCTCCATGGGGTGTATGTAGGGGTCCTTATAGAGGTTATCATAAGGTTTAGGGTTTATAGTCCCCCTTAGGTAGATAGAATATGGGTATATGGGGATCTTAGTATTATATACCCAAACCCATAGTCTATTTGCTTAAGGGGGGCTGTGGGTTTGGTTCAGGGTTTAGGGTCTATGGTTTGGGGTTTAGGGTTACTATAGGGGTGATATGGGGGTTATATGTTATGTAGGTTCAGGGAGGGCTACTGTCAATATTAGGGTTACCAATGGACCATTAAGGGTGCACATAGGTACCTACGGAACCAGAACAGGTACCCACATTTTGAACTGTGGACTTACTTGGTGCTCGCTTTTGGGTTCCATGTTACTTTCTGCTGCTAAGCTGGGAAGTAATGAGAGTATTGGGTTTTTTTCCCGAACTACAGCTTGACGTACTACAAATCCCCATCTAAACCCAGAAAGCTAGCCCTGAAAAACCACGGATGCTGGACGCCAAAGGTTTCTTCCTGCACAATAATCCCTAAATCCTAAACCCTAAATCCTAAACCTTAAATCCAAAAGCCAAAACCCTAAATCCTAAACCCTAAACATTAAATCCTAAACCCTAAACCTGAGGTTTCTTCCTGAACTACAATTTGGCCCTAAAGGCCCTGGCTGTCACAGTGGTTCTGTCCCACGCAGCGCTGTTTCTGCTCCTCCCTTTGAACCCCTCGCTGAACCTTGAATGCCAGTAGACTTCAGGATTGAGGGTTTACGGTTTAGGGATAGTGTATACCCTAAACCCTAAACCCTAAGCCAGTAATAGTAATAGTAGTAATAGTAATAATAATAGTAAATTAAGGCCAGGAGCCCTGTCTTCTTCTGCCAATAGTCATATACCTACCCAAAACCTGTACTATAACTACTATTACCCAAACCCAAGTACCGAATTATTGGGTACATGGACCCTCTGGGGTGTGTTAGCTCACCACTTCGGGTCAACCCTAAACTTCATCCAGGAACACATTTTTCCTCGTCATGCTGGATGGGCCGATGATGGTTTTCTTCATCGCCTTCTTTGCGGGACAGCATCTGACATGGTGGTGGAGCCCCCTGACCTGGGTGGACAGACCCTTGGGACTAATGCACGCGGTTTAGGGTCTAGGGTTTAGGGTTCTCTTGTGGTCCTGTTTCGCTGCGGGGGATAGAGTAAGTATTTAGAGTTTATGGGCTTATGGGGGTTTGGAGAATCAAATGAACAAATGGAAATTCAAACGGAAAGTGAGTTTCGGCAGGTTTTACAAGGATTGTACGTGACGTATGAAGACGAATGAGTACCATCATTATGGTCCTATTTGGCCTGTCGAAGTGCAGTATTTAAGTATAAGGTGCCTCAAGAAGACCTTGGAATAGCAACGGTATCTTTACGGCTCATGCGCATTACACAAGGTAGGATTATTGGGTATCCAATTAGGTAGCCCATGAATAAAGCTATTGGTCGCATGAACCGAGACAGACATGAACCCAAAAATGCTGAACGCAAAAAGTAAACATTGCCAACCCTACGTCGCCCTAAGCCCTACGTACTGTCATACTAAAAGTCCTGGATGAGCTTAGTATACTGCAATACCATCATTCATAATATACTTAGAGCCATGCAGGCTTTACCCTAAAGCCTAAATCCTAATCCCTGAACCCTAAGCCCTAACTATTCCTATATAACCCCTGTATCCCCTTAAAGGCTTATTAGTATCCAGCGTAGGACTTTGCATCGACCAAACGGACGACGTTACCAAGATGCAGGGAATCTCTGAGCTTCCTGCCCCAGCTTGATGGGGATGGCTTTTGGTCCCCAAAATCCAAAACCCAATTAGAGTTGAGGGTTTGGGGTTTAGGGTTTAGGGTGTAAGGTTTCGGGTTTCGAGTTTAGGGTTGAGGGTCGAGGGCTTGGATTCGGATGGAAGGAATACATAGCGACCATGCCTTAATCTTGCCGGGGTTCTACGGGATCATTGTCATTGCGGGAGCTGAACTTACCTCGCGTTAACAAGGATGCTCCCTGTCCCTAGGGATCGGATATGGAGGGTTTCCCAAAATGGGGGGGGGTTACATAGGGGTCATACAGGGTTTAGGGTCGGGGATTAGGATTAAGGGCCAAGTTAAGGGTTTCCCAAGATTAGGGGGGCCATTTGGAGGGTCCCAATAATCAGGATTCTAGTAGTTTGGGGTTTATATTGGGGTCCTCTTTGGGAGCTTGTCCCTAAGGATCCAAATAGCCCAATGTGGGTAATATTTACGCACTTAAGGGCACAATGTTGGATTATTTGTATACTTGGATCCCTAGGGTATATTTTACCCAATAATAGAGTAGTTTCCGTTGTTTTTTCATGTCCTAAACCCTAACTTGTCGTTTCCAGTTTCTCTTCCATTCCTTGATTCCTTAATAAGCAGAGGCAAATAATCACATAATCCTGCCATACAACCCCTGCCTCCATTTCATTTTCCACTTTCTTGTCCATCTGATTCTCCCCATTTATGGCACCCCAAAACCCAACACCCATGAACTAAAAGAATAGTTCCCGCCGGGGACTCCCTAAGTAAAGCCTCGCCCGGGGGAGCCCCTACTCCCTAAACCCTGAAACCCTAAAGCTGAATCTAAATCCTTGGTTGACCTTGGCTGACATTTTACATTTTTAATCTGCCCGTAGGGACCCATCCTCTGCTCAGACCCTCTTGTAATCCTTTCCATTGTGATCCTCCCCTGAATTCTAAACCTAAACAAATCCTAAACCCTAAACCCTAAACCCATAGACCCTATCAACCACCCCTCCTTCGCCTCGGCTTTGGGCTCCTGACCATGGAGTACAACATCGATGGATGCAGGGAGGCCCAGATTCAGTTCAGGGTTAGCAGCTGATGGCGTTAGGTAGTTAGGGGTGGGGTTCGCCCTTAGTGGCGTTAGGTAGGTAGGGGATGGCGTCAAGGGTTCGCCCTTTGTGGCGT